TAGTTTTGATGATGTGAAGTATTCAAAGACATACAAATTATTATCAGTTTAGATTATTCAATTCAGAAATCACACCATAGGTCAGAAATATTAATAGATTATTTATGTTGCCATCTAGCATTTCCTGACCCTTTTTTGTTGGCAGAATCCACATTTTGCCCACATTTTTCCATACTACGACAAAATTACATGTTTTAAATTTGTTTTTGAAAGAAAATATGTAAAACTTGAAAGTCACAAGCCAATTTACATAATGGATAAACAAATTCGAAAAGTCAGACCTATCTAATTGGTATAGCATACTTTCAGGATGTTGTATTCCTAGGCCAGAAGATGTGTGCGTATGTATACATGTGTGTATATGTATATATGTATGTATGTATATGTATGTATCTATGTGGGTATGTACACACATACATATACATATACACATTTATATACGGATGTATTTATGGATGGATGTATATCAATGCTTCTTTCTCAAATAATCTAGCTGATCACCTTGAAAAGGCCAAGAGATACCAGCTTCAAGGCAGGTCCTAACTTCTGACTGAAGGTTTATTCTATTTGAGATTGTACCGTGTAGTTAAAAGCTTGGGAGCCAAAGGGCCCTTGGTTTAGGTTTGAAAATTCAATTTTATAGTAAAGAATTCTACTATACTCCTTTCACTTTCCTCTCCTATTCATATTTATATTCTTGACCCTATTGCCCTTTTCCAATATTAACCTTGTGTTTTTAGAGGCCCAAATATGTTAGGAGCCCTTCCACTACTGATATACTAGAGTGGGGTGGAAATTTGCAGTAAGTTATTATGTTCCCAGGGCCAGGGGGTACTGAAGAGGAGTGAGTTTGAATTGATATAGTCTTGCAGGAAGGTGAGTTATAGAGACAATGCAAGGATCCAGATTACAGGGTGGGAATGAAAAGGTGGCAGTTCTGGGCCCCCTAGGAGGAGCTCTCCAATGGCCAACCTCCACCATCTCCAATCAGAGGTATTTATATCCCATCTTCCCAAATATACTATAAATTCCTTGACTTGAGGACTATTTGAGGCTCATTTTTCTTTTTATCTCTCAAAATGATTTTTACATTGACTAAAAGCAATGACCACAAAAGAATATATGAAATAAGTAGTATGTCAATCCAAATATTTTATATTACCAAAATACATTTAAGAACAAATTGATATGGCATTTTTATTTTTAAAATCATCTATAAAATATATACACAATATATACATTTACCTTCTAGTACTCTTTCTCCACATTCCACCAGGTTCCAAACTATAACATAGTCACAAGATGCAGAACAGACAAGAAGTGGATTAACTCTGTTTCCAAATGTCACAGCAGTAATTGACTGATGATGGCCTATCAAGTGTAATGGCTAAAAACATTCAACACATAACCAATTATATATCATTATACAATATGTAAAACAAAAAAAAATAAGAATTCAAAACTTCTAAAATTTAATGTTTCTCAAAAGTATTTGATTAAGCACTATTTTTAGAAGTACCCGGCACATACTAAGTACTTAGTAACCAAACGTTAAATTGAATTCAAATATTCTCATTCACACTCCAAGCAAGAGCTATGCCCCACAAAATTCAAAGAGATTAACCATTGTCTGTAAGAGTTTAAAAAAAACTCTAGATTTTGAAGCTTGTTTCAAAAGCTCCATCCATTTCTCCCCTACTTCCAAAGCTACTAAAAAATGTTATCTATTTTGTTAATCTTTAACACCATATGTAACACATCATGTTACATATTATATATCCATTTGTTGTTACAGCGTCATTTCAATCATGTCCAACTCTTTGTGACTCCATTTGGGGTCTTCTTGGCACAGATACTGGAGTGGTTTGCCACTTCCTTCTCTAGCTCATTTTACAGATTTGAGGAAACTGAGGCAAACAGGGCTTGTTTAAGTGACTTGCCCAAGGTCACACAGCTAGTAAGTGTCTGACATCAGACTTCAGATGTGAACTCAGGTCTTCCTGACTCCAGGGCCAGTACTGTACCCACTTCATCACCTAGCTGCTCATATCCCTCATATCCCATATACTCTAGATACATGAAACACACAGCATGGATTTAAATACCTGATTGAAAGAGTCACTGGTATTCCATATGCAAAGTTCATTTCCATTTAAAGGGAAAGCACAATAATGTTGACTGCAAGCAAGTTGAACATGAGATGCTGATTCTTTAGATTCAATTAAATATCTTTCTTGAACTATATTTCGAACACAGCCAACCTTATTAGAACAGGCATCTTCTGAGTCTTCCATATGAAAACTGAAAATACAAAGTTACATAATTTCCATTAAGGTACTTAATTTGTACTAGTTCAGTGGAATTTGAAGACTTGGGTTCAATTCCTGACTCTAACTCACAACCTGTGTGAAGCCTAAATTATTTAATCTGCAAAATGAGATAATAACCGCCTACCTCCAAAAGTTGGAAAGTGCTTCCTATGGTACAGTGGAATGTATGCTTTATTAAGGAGTCAGAAGACCTGGATGCAAATTAATACTTGCTCAATTTCTCTACTGCAGGAGTTTTTAATCAGGGGTCCCACTTCAGAATGTAAGCTACTTGTAGGTTCCTTGTATTTATATTTCCAGCGCTTAACACAGGCCCTAGCACACAGAAGGGCTTAATGAAAGCTTTCTTTACCTACCCACTCAAGGGATCCCTGATTAGACTGGAAAGGAGGGCATGAACTTGTTTTTTTAATAATTTGATAACTGGATTTCCATATAATTCGTTTCCTCTGTAATCCTATATATTTTATGCATTTAAAGACATTATTCTATGCATGGATCTATAGGGCAGCCCCAGACTTCTCAAGGGGTCCATGCCTCAGAAAAGCTTAAGAGCCCCTGCTTTACAGCTTAATAAACCCTGCCAGCCCCAGGTTTGCGGGACCACACAAGCAGAAAAGGAGCCAGATGGTCCGGGCTGGGAGAAGGGAGAGGGAGGACAGTTAGGGGTAAGGGGCGAGTCGGAAGTCTTGGGGACTATGTAAGGCTAGGACTCCTTCACCTGCACTTTACAAGATCCTCTCCCAAAGGTGAATGCGGCAGCGAACCCCAGGGGTTTACGGTCCAGGTGAGGGGCGTGTATGGTGACAGAGTCCCCGCCTCTGTATCCTAGGCAACAAAGGACGCCAAAGATGGAGACGGTGTGCCAAGTGGGTCAATTTACTTTGTAATTTACTTCCTGATGGTAAAGCCGTGTCTAGTCTGATCTTCTGATCTCCAGGATTTCGTTCCAACCAGAGGAGAGCAGGGCGGGGGCGGAGGGTGGGAGTGGCTGCCCAAAGAGCTTGCAGGACGCCTAGGTCGGAAGCCAAACTCCACACCTCGGAATGACTTGGAATATCTTGCAGGTCTCATTTCTTAAAGCAGGACTAAGTCCTTCGAGGTTGAGAGCCAGAGATGTTCGATCAAAGTTGATGACCGATCAACTCCCATGGATTCCTTTATCATCTCTATGCAAATAACATGTTGCATCTTCCCACTACACTCACACTCTCACTCTTTCTCTCTCTCTCTCTCTCTCTTTCTTTCTCTCTCTCTCTCTCTCTCTCTCTCTCTCTCTCTCTCTCTCTCTCTTTCTCTCTCTCTCATAAAAAGAGAAGGTTGGATACATTGCCTCTTAGGTCTAGCTCTAAATCCTATGATATTTAAAACTGTCATAACCTTGCATGTTGTTTAGTGGATCAGTCATGTCTGAATCTGCATGGACTCTACTAGCCATTGGGTTTTGTTGGCAAAGATGCTAAATTAGTTTGCCATTTCCCTCTCCAAGTCATTTTTCAGCTGAGGAAACTGAGACAAGCAGGGTGAAGTGACTTGCCTAGGATAATATAGCTAGCAAGTGTCTTAGATCAGATTTGGAACTCAGGTCTTCCTGACTCCAGGCTCAATGCTCTCTCTCCACTGAGTCATCTAGCTGCCTCATCTCCTTGCTTAACTTCAATTATAACCTCAGTGCCAGATCTATAAACTATCTCAAATTGCCTACTATTTTCAGAAGAGGGAAGGGGAGGAAGGGAGGGAGGGAGAAAAACTTGGAACTCAAAATCTTGTAAAAATGAATGCTAAAAATTGTCTTGACATGTAATTGGAGAGGGGGAATACTATAAAAAAAAAAGCAAAACTTCAGTGCTAGTAACTATCAAATACATACCTTTTGCCTTAACTTCTCACTGGAATTCTAGTGCCATATTTCCAACTTCTCATAGAACATTTACATTTAGATATACTGTTCTACGGTCACCTTTAACCCAAAATCATCTGCTTTCCCCAAACCAACTCTTCTTTCCAAGTTCAACAATTCTGGTAATGGTTCCACTCTTCTGACAATTTTCCAAGATGGAAACCTATGTAGGTCTTTGAGTTCTGAGAAGGGAATTTATAATTTTCATATTAATCAATATGATATGTATAATGAATATGCTAATATTTCATTTTCTCAAGAGCTGACTCTCTGGCTTGGGAGTCAGAGCTCACAATGCAGCTTGAACTGATTAATCAAAACTCTGACAATGCTCACAATCATTGGATCTTAAGCAAAATGAATCAAAGATTGTAGAACCTGTTCCCGTTACAGAACTCTGGTTCTGTTCTTCAGGGGAGGTGGTCACAACCCCCAAAGACTTGACTCCAGAATTGTATTGTGGGACTTATCGGTTCCTCATGGGGAAACCACTAAATGATTTCTTTGTGATCCATCTTCCCCCGCCCCCTTCCCCACCTGTGATTTAAGTATGTAACACTGCTTTTACTTCAGCTAAGGGAACATTTCTCACTCTGAAACTGTTAATTAAACTACTTGATTACTGGCACTGCTCTAGGCCTGCTTTGTTCAGCTCTAAGCATTCTCAAGTTAGAGTATGGCTCAGAAAAATCCTTTTAACAGTTCCATGGTAAAGTATGCTGAAATGGGAGTCAGGAGACCTGCACTCTCATTTTGGCCCAATCATTAACTCAATGTATAGCACTGGACAAATCATTTAAACATTTCTGGGCTTCAGATGTCTTATCTTACAGTTGAGAGGATTGAACTAGATGACTTTCAGGTTTGCTGCAATCACATCCACCCCCCTACCTTTCACAGCTAGTCTACTAGAAAAAGTTGGCTATACTCATTACTTCCACTTTGTCACCTAATTTTAAACTCCTTATCTCATTGTCCTAGCCCTGTTCCTGACTTTCTCTGGACTTCAAAACTGTGGACCTTTACTGATGGTTCATCCTAGAACTTCCCTCAATGCCTGGAGTCTCCTTGTCTGGAAATAATCTATCACCCCAGTGACCCACAAACTCTGGAAAATCCATCTGCAAGGCCTGCCATCCTTCTCCCAAGGGCAAATTGGAACAAGACTGACCTTCCTTCATTCTCCTCCTAACCACGTTCCTCACTTCTTCTAGAATTCAAAGCCATGCTCCCAGCCAGATACCTTCATTCCCATCCCTCTGTGCCCTGCTTTTTGTGTGATGCCTTCCCCCATTAGAATGTAAGCTCCTTGAGGGCAAGAACTGTCTTTATTTTTCACTTGTATTTTTATCCCCAGCACTTTCCAAAGAACAAATCCTTTTATTGAGGAAATTTGTTCTATGAAGTTTGGATTCAGTCAAAGGGCCACACTTGAGGACCTAGAGGGACACGTCAGGCCTCAAGGCTGCAGGTTCCCCCACCCCTGTGCTAGACACATAATAAGCATTTAACAAATGCTTATTTTTCTTCCTTCCTTCCTTCCCTTCACTAGACTGAAACTGATAATCCCAAAGTTAGCAACCATCTCTTAATTGCTAAATCTAGTGACCTTTTCTCAGACCTCACCCTTCTTGACCTCTATGCTACATTTCACACTACTGACCACCTCCTTTTCCTGAATACTACCTCCTTTATAAGTTTTGGTGATACTACTATCCCCTTGGTTCTCCTCCTCCATATGCCAGGGCTTAGTCCTGAGTCTTTTTTCCTTCTTTCTCCATACTCTGTCCATCAGTAAACTTATCATCAGCTCCCATAGGTTCAATGATCTTCTATACCTGTGACTCCAGAAAGTTCTAATTTTGTGTCACAACTGTCTACAGGAAACCTCCACCTGGATGTCCCACAGATATCTCATAAGATGGTGGATCCTGTAATCATAAATCTCAAACCCAACCCATAAAAAATAGAGCTCATTATCTTTTCCTCAAAATCCATTCTTCTTCCTAACTTTCCTATTTCTGTTGAAAGCTCCACCATCCTTGCAGTTACCCAAAAAGGCAGAACTAGAGGGAGGTTAGGTTATAGAAGTCCTAAGCAAAGCAAACTCTAGGGACATACAAAAATATTTAGAGCTTTTTTTTTTTTTGAGGTGGCAAATAATAAGAATTTGAGGGACTATCCACAAATTGGGGAATGGCTGAACAAGTCATGGTATATAAATGTGATGGAATACTATTATGTTCTAAGAAATTATGAAAGGGATAGTTTCAGAGAAAATTGGGAAGACTTATATGAGCAGATGCAGAGCGAGCTGAACAGAACCAGGAGACAATTTATACAGACAACAGTAAGACAAAGACAAACAACTTTAAAAGAATTAGGAAATCTAATCAGTTTAATCAGCAACCACAATTCCGGAGAATTTATGATGAAACACTACACCCACCTCCCGATAGCAAGGCAAAGGGATCAGAATGAGATTATTTTTTAGACATGACCAATGTGGAAATTTGGTTTGCTTAACTATTCACGTTTATAACAGGGGCTTTGTTTTCCTTTTGTTTTCATTTGGAGAGGAGGTTGGTGTGGGAGGGAGATAAAGCAGATTTTTTTCCAATTAAAAAGCTATACATATTTTTAAAACACATTATTAAAAAAACTAAGTCCCCAAAAAAACTATGCAAGGTCATTCTGTAATTCCCACATGGTTTGGAAGAACACAATCTACAGAATGTCTCTGCTAACTTTCCCCCACTCCCTTTCACTGAAAATTAGGCTGGTCCTTGAAGATAAAGTGCTCCATGATCTAGATAGCATGAAGCTATCTAGCTTGTGCATGTAAATGAGTAACAAATGTTTGTTAAGACCGAACATACCGGAATAAAAGAGATATGAAAGTACCAAGAACAGTTCTGTCAGATGGTAAAGAAGGAGAATGAGAGCATTGTATTCTGAACTTTGAAAAATCCATATGCACCAAAGACTATAGCAGAAGGATTTGGGCTTCCACAGCTGGCCCTTCCCCCTTTTTCACCTCCTGCTCTCATGCTGGGAAGGGCAATTTTATTTCCTTTTCCTTTTTCTCTCTCCTCTTGGAAAGGAGCACAGACAGCACTGCCACCCTCTCTTTTTTCTCAAAGGCCTTGCTCACACTTTTTCTGAGAGCTGTAAGGCTTGAAAAAAATCTCTTGATATTATGCCTAACCAGGAGCTTCAAGGCATCCTAACAAGAACAATCCAACAGATTTTCCTAGAACTTCTAGTCCCATTGACTAGTTCAAATATGTTACTTGTGTTTATGTCCTCTCCCTCTCATTACCCGTTTTCTCCTTTCTTTGTATGTATCTTCTCCCTCTGATTATGGTATTTGTGATATTTCTATTTGAAGCTGTTACAGGTAATTCCCTAATAAATTGTTAGCACAATGCCTAGCATATTGTAAATGCTTAAAAAATGTTGATTGAGTAATTTTTTTTAACGAGCACTGTCTTACTTGACTGGCATACTTGTCTGTAAGCTAAATGTTAATTCTGCATAATTAAAATATTAGGCAGTGCAGTATCAGTAGATAGAGAGCTGGCCTTGGAGTCAGGAAGAACTGGGTTCGTGTCCCACTTTTGACATGGACTGGCTTTGTGACTCAGCAAGTCACTTGCTTCTGTTATAAATAGGCCCACCAAGCCCCATCCCCACAAAGTAAGAAGGCTTAGTTCCCATTAGCCGGAGTGAAAGAAGAATCGTTTAATTAGGTTTCTTCCAAGAGATGGACTCCCTTTACTGAGAGAAGCGACCTGATACGGGAGCGAGATCAAGCTTTATACTGTTATTCTATTCAGTCCCTCCCTCAGAGCCCCGATTGG